AATCATCCTCCGTAATCGGAATGAATACACTACATATCTCTTAATGAGAATAAAGTGTATTAATATATAAGTTTTAATAGTAATTAGAATATATATATATTTAAAGGGACTTAAGTACGTAAACGTATCATGCATGAGGTATAGCCGTGTTTATGTGGGCGGGCATGGCGGAGGGAACATTATACACGAGGCATATACGGCAGCAGAGGCGTCGGCTGTAGGAATATATAAATGAATATTAACATATACGTATATACGTACAAATATTAATATATATATATATTAATATTAGCGGTGGCGGTAGGAATATATAATCTTCGCATAATATCGCGGCACTTTCGCTGGCATCGACGACGCGTTGTCCGGCGTGTTCCTCGGACGTCAACAGGTTAGCAGCGTTGATAGCGACGGCGCGCGAGTGCGGATCGAGTCGTAGACGTTGCCACTTTGACAACGGGAAGAAGACTACGGTATCATTTGCGGCGGGACGTCGTCGGCCGTGCGGCACTTGCTGGACTTTGTACCGCAGCGTATAACGCGCGGTGTTGGTCAGTCAAATACTCATAATAGGGCGACGGCTGATAAAGGTGGCACGAGTCGTGGGGCATTGTGTATAATGAAACGACGCGGGCCGTGTCAATTACAATAAAAATTTGTTATATATATACATAATTGATGACACGCGCGCGTCTACGGGTTAGAAAATATTGTTGTCTACGAGTGGTGAGCGGGGTGGGGCGAATGCATTACAACAGTATAGTCTCAAGGTCATACACGACGGGATACGCGACATAATAACACGTGCCGCGTGGAGTTACAAACTTACAAACGACAAACAAACAACAAACAACAAACATACACGTGAAACTAATATAAGCGTGTTAAAAACAATTCTTCTTCTTCCTCTCCTAAATCCCAACTACTTGGGGTCGGCCCCAAAAAATATAAAAATAATTGTTTTCTTAAAATAAATATTTTATTCTAAATAGGTTTTATGAAAATAAATTATCTCACAAATAATTTACTACTGTATTAATTTCATATTAGATCTAGATAGTTGGAATAGATAACATTTTTTCAAAAATTTGTTTTGTGGTTTATATGTTTGTCCAGACATATAAAGGGTTTCCAACGCTAATTTTAATGTTAAAAATTAGTGATGGTAATTTTCGAATATTTTAAACTATTAACACAAAATAAATAGTAAAAAAACAGACCCCAAATAGATTGAAACGAAATTTTACTTTATTATTTTAATTACGATGTGTCAATTTTAGCTTCGATGCGAAGCTGAGAAGGTATTTGTTTTACTAAGATGTGTTTATTTACTTATTTTTTTTTTTTGTGTCTGTTACCACTTTTTCGCAGCTCTCACCGAACCGATTTCTTTAAATGATACGTCAAAAGATCACAAATCGTATCTAGTCGAAGACATTACCCTCAAAAATTGAAAAAAATTCCCTCATTCCCCGTAAATGGGGGAAATCTCTAAAAAAAATTACAAATTTAAAAATCGCTAATTTTAGAAAGTTTTGAAATTGTTTTAACTTAAAATAGCCATAATTTTTTAAAAATAACCAAATCAATATTATTTTTTTTTATATAGATGCATGATATCATTACCTTTTATTTGGTATATTTTTTTTATAAATCTGACCCTCTACCTGCCCACAGGTGGGCCTTTAAAATGACAAATTTTTCACAAAAAATTAAGTTTTTCAACTTGACCTTTGAAAATAATCCGGAAAATTTTTTCAATTTTTTTTACTAAAATGTGCCGTAACTTTTTCAAAAATGTACATATCAATATAATTCTTTTTTATATAGACGCATGATATCATTACCTTTCATTTGGTATATTTTTTTCATAAATTTAATACTTAACCTCCCCACAAGGGGGGATTTAAAATGACAACTTTTTCACAAAAAATTTACTTTTTCAACTTAAATTTTGAAAATGTTCCGGAAAGTCTGACACTTTTATATGTATCTTAAATTAAAGTCAATGTAATTATTTTATTATACAAAAAAAAATTTCGTACTTTATTTTGTCTTTACGTGAAAATGGCTATCGAATGCTATTATTGTGTGAAAATTTTCGATTTTATTTTTTATATTTTCAACTTTATAATGCTATAACTTATTGAAAAGTGTATGGATCAACATAATTTTTTTATGAGAAATAATATTTTTGAATAATCTCTTTTTAATTCGACATACTTTATCTTAATCAGGATTTTAGTAAGGAACTAGCTGATCATGTAGCTTTTGGAATAATCCACCAATTTTTTAAAATTAAACACTATCTTCAGATTTGCATCGAAGCGTTTTTTTTTATAGTGATTTTAATCACTGTCAGATATCATTATACTTGATCCATCTATGCCACGTCACCACTGTGCCGTGACCCCCCTGTGCTGGGTTTTTTAAATGAATGGCTGCCATATTGCTATCAAATATTGCGACACTATCAAAATTTGGTTTAGATATTAACACACTCGCCCCGTATCTTTTACCAATATTTTCCTACATGGTTACTATTTTCACGTTTATTATTTTTTCTTGGTTTTCCAGAAATTTACCGTATATACTGTTGATCATAAGTTTAAAAAATTCAATTTCGAAAGCCGACTTGGACTCCATACGTTTTCTCGTATTCAAATCTATATACGCTTTCATCCAAGCTGATTGTTCGAATTTTAATACTTTATTTATCTTTTTTGCCTTCAAACCCAAGCTAATGGCCTGTTTTAAAGTCCGATAGTGAGTAATATAATTTTTTTTATCATTTAAATTTTGAATTTGGTGGTTGTATATTTTCAGGACATAACGGTAAGTCAGACTGGAGTTCATATAAATGCTCACCATACTCTTAATCGACATTTAATATAATCCCCCAATCACTATCATCTTTAATTTTGTTACATCTAATTCATCGATTTCTGATTGTTGTAACCATTTAAAATTCCCAAGTGGAAGGTGTTGATTTAGCGCAGCTCCATACAGATTGTTGGCATCGAGATATAATAAATATTTTGACGGTTTCGACGAATTGTAATCATCGCAATATTTATTATTAGCTTCACTATAATGTGATACTCCACCACGAATCGCATTATTAATAAAACTAGTCATCTCGATGTCCGTCATCAGTTCCTATTTTACCCCGGTAATTCGTTTCATAGCATCAAAGCTCAACCCCGGAATAGTGATATAATAACATGGATCAAGCCCATAATTAACTAAACACATTTTTTTTAAATTTTCAAATATATCAGCCATAAGAAACACATCAGTTTTTAAATATAAATAATAGAATAATCTTCCATTGTTGAACAATAAAATTTTTCCCAAACTTTTTTTGCATGGACGTAATTCTTGTCTGATATATCACACATATTTAAAATACTACGAAACGAAGATTTTGAGGGGAGCATGCATTCGATCAGAACATTCATATCAGTCACATACTCGTAAGGGAATACACTCTTACGACACATTAACATGAATTCATCATCATACGTATGCATTCTCTTAGTTATGTTTAATTGATCGGACGATAAAGTTTCAGCTAATTTTTCAAGAGAAGGTGGTAAAAAGTTTAACGAATCTATAAATTTCAATGTCAGTCGCTTATTGTTAGATGTTTTTATTACTTTTTAATTGACATATATTTTTGAATTGTTTTAGCCAAAACTTCAATCCCCTCGTCGCTATCGCCAAAACCTATATTTGATATAATAAAATGCGAGTCACAGTTCTGCATATTATGTATAATTACGGGGACAAATGAGGGAACCGAACATTTTAGGTTACAATCTCTATGCGCTGCGCCACGATATCTCCCCGTTAAGTGACAATGATCGAAAACCTTTTCATGATGCCGTAATTCACCGTTACAAATGTGACACTCAGTTGTTATGTAATGATCATGTTGTTCTTTTAAAGATAATGGTAACATAGGCAAAGGATTCGAGTAAATGTCACTTATACGGTTTATATCATTTCTAAGTCTATCGATAAACACCTTAGCACAATTTTCTCCACGGTATAACTCCATGCAATGCAAATTTTCATCGTATGAACATTTAATGAAATATGAAAAACTATGAGGTTTGTAAATATTGATTTTTCGTTATATTGATATTGAAATATTTGATTTTTGAAAAAGATTCTGCACGATTTGTATTCCATGTAGCTATAGGTGTTAATATTGATTCAAAATCTGCGTATATAACAAATTTAACAGGAAATTGGTTTTGATAATTTTGAAATTTGAGGATATTTTTGGGGGATTTGGAAGAACCGTTTTAACGCGCATACAATTTTCGAGCTGGTGAGACATTAATTTAGATTCTGAATAAAAAAACAATAAGCAACCATCACATATATATTTATGAGATTTGTGTTTTGAAAGCTGTGCGGATACTAACCGCTCTAGATTGGAAATACAATAGAAATGCCCGAAGGGTTTATCTTTTTGATCTAAAAATAATAAATTAACATGTTTGTCACATTTACATTCGGTTAAATGCAAGGTACCGGAATTTTCTCATTAACATAAGTGTATACATTTACACTTATGTTATTATTTCTTTCAAATTTTTTTATATCTGTAAGTGATATAGGTGAATTCAATCCTCTAGTGTTTAACACTAGGATATAATGTGGATACGATTCGGGTTTTGACTTAACCACATCATGCGATTGAACCGGATATAAACTAGCAACCACGACCCAAAAAAATCAATCTTCCCCCTCAGATTTAATATTTGTTAAAACATTCTTGCGGAATAATTTTTTTGGAATATCTAAATTACATCCTCTCCTCAAAGGATCATACTTAAACGTGTTGATATCCAAAAAAACTACACCTCTAAAAACCCATCCGCTCCCCCGCGTTCAACCTCTTCAGACTTTTTTTGTAGTAGATTTTTAATAATAGTAATCCGCTCAGGAATACTACACGATGCTGTCAAAACAAATGGAGAAATAGAAAGGGTTTGTGTTATAGTGGTTACCCCTACATTAACGTTAACATTATCAATTTTTTCATATACTGTTACTAAATCTAAAGAAGTTTTTACCGCTATATTTTTTTGATTGATTTTTCCCAGACATCTGTAATGTCAAATGCATATCGCTCTATGAACTCGGTGATAGTAAACGGATCGATATTTTCAATTCTGTGTACATTTATATTGCCCGAAAAAGCTGATTCAATCAATTTTGAACTTGAAATCTTCACACAATCACCTGTATTAATGTGAATGAAATTATCGTTAAAATACGCGTTTTTATGTTTAACAGAATCGTTATTATTATTATTGAAAATTAAATTATTTAATAATTTATAGTAATTAATTTTTTAATTCTATCATAGCTAGACATTAAAAAGATTAACTCACTTTTTGTGTTTGACTGTTTTGGTTTATTTAAATATTCAATCCCCATTCCAATCAATTCACTATTTACACCTAATAAAATAATGTTACTCAGTGCTCGAATTGGGGGGGTGCGCAGGGGGACGTAGCTCCTCTACTTTTTTTTGGCCAATTCGAGCACTGATGTTACTTTAAATAACTGTTACGTGTAAATATATCACTCGACTTCTTATAACAATTTTAAAAACATAGTGAGTTCATTTTTTTTTTTGCATTATCCATTCAAGTTGATTATAATACTCAAAGCTTGGATAAACAGTAATATTTTCAGTTTCCTTCGGATCGATCTTTTCAGCAACATCAAATACTTTTTAAATAAAAATTATAATTATAGAAATACAGTTAAATTTATATTTACATTTAAACTTACAGAGTTCATCGTCACTATCCCGAGAAGTAGAGAAATCGTTAGAATTTAATTCATTTTCTTTCTTTATATCGATATCAAATACTCTACAAATAGTAATAGTACCAATTATAATATAATGACTTAAAAATAATTATATAAAATTTTTACTCACCGATCGAGTTTTCACACATTTTTTTAGAATTCTTAGATTGTAACTGCAATACATTATTCACACCTATTAATTAAATTTATAATTAAATAATGTTTTTATATTAGATAAAACATAGATTTGTGTATGACATTAGATCAATACATGTTATGATTATAATACATGATACCAACCTTTCAAGAAGTGTGTCTTATGTTGATGTCTTCTCACATTATCCTTTCTGGAAACATTTTTACCGCAAACTGTATAGCTGTATAATTTGTGTTTATGAACAGATTGTTCATGACGTTTCAGATCTTTCAGAAAACTGAAAGTCTTACCACAAACACAGCACAAGTGATTCATATTTGATGTGTTTACGATTGAAAATGAAAAGGCTTAAAGGTAACGATTTAACAGATGAACGAAAATTAAGTCTGGAGAAAAATGATTTTTCGGTTTTTTTAAATATACTTTTGCAAACCTCAGCAATTTCATACCAACAGTATCCCCTACCCTGGAGTTGATAATTTTTGTAAAACAATTTCGTGTTATGACCATTCTCAGACGTCCATTGGGATTTAAAATTATTTTACGTGACTTTTGTTAAAACACTAACATTTTACTTACACTTACTAACGTGACTACTGTTTATTTTTGCTATTTAATATTTCTTTTGCAGACGCTGAGTTAGCAAAAATACTCTCTAAATATTATTTTTCGTATTGATTTATTTACACCCATTGTTCGATTAATACACCAGTAACTTTATTTTTTTTTAACAAGTATAGATTTACGGGGTGAAATATAATTGTAATTTTGTTGGATTTTCAAATATTTTTTCTAAAAATCAACTTATCGTTTTTAAAGTGTATAATATTCATTTACATAGACTTAATATCATACTTCAAATATTGTACATAAATTGTGTTAGAAACAAGCTGTATTAAATTTTAGTTTTTTTACTTTAATTTTTACCATTTTTTATTAATATTTCTTTCATTATTTATCAAGTATAGTTTTAAAATAACGCATTCAAACATAGTTACAGTTTTATTGAATTTTCAACAACATGTAATATTTTTTTATAAATCCATACTTCATTATTATCATTTTAAAGTATACAGTATTCATTTACATAAACTTTATATCGCAACTCGAAGTTTAATCTTTTCGTCCGTTAGAAACAAGTTTCAGACTTTCGTCGAATCCTTTTGCCAAATCTTCTCGAGTAAATTGAAACCTAGACGGTAGATAAACTTGAAAAGAGGGTTTGTCATCCAGTTTTACTTCAGCTACCGGTGTTTGAGTGGAATATTTCGATTTTATGACGAATAGACCCAAACTCTTATATTGAACACTTACTTTAAGATCAGATACACACTTCCTGTGATTATTTTGCATACCATTTAACTATTTTTTATTAACTAAACTCATCTAAAAATCATTGATTTAATTATAACAAAAATCACAGTAACAGGCTAATGTAAATAGTTATTAGTATCATTCAATTATTATATTAAAAATAAAAATGTCATTGATAAAAATGATTGATAAGAAAATATATTTTAGTTGTTTTATAGTAAATTTGAAAAATCTTTTTATACCACCTTTATAAAATGACTACATTTGCATACTTTGTCATGGATCTAACTCTAGTAGACTTAGGTAATCTAGGAAAAATCTTCATAGGAGGAGCTCTTAAAAGAGTANTAACTTACACGAACTTTGAAAAGTGCTCATCGGAGGAGCAATAACTAATATATTCCAAAGACCATGTAATATTTACAAATTGAAAGGTAAACCGCAGCTTTTAACATTACAAATAAATTCACTAAAACATAACAGATTACATNGTAAGTCAGGAAACGGGTTTCTATTGTTCTCATTGTTACAAACAACACTTACTGAACACCCTGTATATTGAAAAATATTAATGTTCCGAAAATTACACCAGCAATTATACTTTGGGACTGCACTGAAGCAAAATACTATACTCTTAAATTACTAGCCTCAAAGAAATTTNATAAGTCAGGAAACCCTGTATATTGAAACATATTAATGTTCCGAAAATTACACCAGCAATTATACTTTGGGACTGCACTGAAGCAAAATACTATACTCTTAAATTACTAGCCCCAAAGAAATTTATCTTTTATCTCAAATGTATAGACTCCTTTAATGACGGAAAATTTTACCTAATATTAGAAATATTCTCTCTAGATATAACCACGTAGGTAGCAATTCCTGAAATATCTGATGTTTTTAATAAACAAAAAAAATTAACATTACATCAAACACACAATTTGTTATGCGTTAATAAACATTTAGGAAAAATTCACAACCNTAGATAACTCCGGATACAACAATTTCTTAAATTTATACAATAGCTCAACTGAATACAGTTCCTCAAATACTTCTGATTAAAATATTTCAATTGACACGAAACACTATTTTAAGTATATTGATTAGTTAGACTTTGTCACGTATATATATATATATATATATGTGTATATGTATGTATATTTATGTATATGTATATATATANATATGGTTAAATCATAAAAAAAAAAATCCTTCCCGATATTTACACAACTTAAATCTATACAAAAGGGGAGCTATAAAAAAAAACACTAGCTACCCAAATTTCCAATACATTTTGAATCCTTAGTCTTATAGACACCATCAAAGCGAACACTAGCTCTAGATAGACACGTCACAATACGATACAGGTAAAACTTTCTTATAATTAGATAATTCTAATCATTTTTTTTTCTATTAATACATAAATATACCAACCAGTCCTCTCCTTCTCTTTGTTTCGTGCATTTTTTTTTTACTCTCGTTCATTTCTATTCTAATTAAAATTATCACCCCAATTCATAATGGCTACCTCTTTATCATACGAATTTTTTTTAATTAACCTAACCATGATAACTTACACGAACTTGGAAAAGTGCTCATCGGAGGAGCAATAACTAATATATTCCAAGGACCATGTAATATTTACAAATTGAAAGGTAAACCGCAGCTTTTAACATTACAAATAAATTCACTAAAACATAACAGATTACTTTTAATCATAAAAAAAAATCGAGAAAATATACCGAGACCACACCACATAATTCAGCAATTAAAAAGAAATATGAAAACTAAATATAACACATTAAATCAACCAACAATCATGGCTTACACATCTAATTTAAATAATTCTTGGCCTGTAGTTATTGTATGGAACTGCAGTAAAACACTAGAAACTTCAATAGACTATCTTAACCCTCCATTCAACATAATAAATTTCAAAGCATATGACACTTTTAACAATGGTAATTATCATTTAATTCTAGAAACCTATTCAACGCAAAAAGTAAACATACTAGCAATAATGCAATTCCGTAGATTCCACAATGATGAACGTGAGCTTTCTCTACAAGATGCACATTCATCATTGTGTAATGAAACACATGAAGGGAGAAATCTATTTCCAAAAAATAATATTGCATTAATGAAATATTTAATACACAAACTTTTAGATAACTCCGGATACAACAATTTCTTAAATTTATACAATAGCTCAACTGAATACAGTTCCTCAAATACTTCTGATTAAAATATTTCAATTGACACGAAACACTATTTTAAGTATATTGATTAGTTAGACTTTGTCACGTATATATATATATATATATATGTGTATATGTATGTATATTTATGTATATGTATATATATATATATATTTAAAAAAAAACATACATTTTCCTTAAGTATTATTCAATCAAAACCATTTTAAAATTAAGATTTCTTTTAAAATATATCTTAGATTTAAGTATAATTTTAGACTCCATATTTTAAGTTTTAAACTTTAGAATTATAATTTAAAAAAAAAATTTATATATATTTCTATATAATAAAGTTTATTTTTAAGGAATATTCCATATTAATTTAGTTGAATATTTTTACATAATAATTTTTAACCTTAAAATGCCTAATTATAATATATTATATATAATTACCATAAGCTTATCTGTGGCGCCGAACAGACGGTAGCATTAAATAGTTTAATTCTTAAGAAAAACTAGCCTCCCTTCATNCAATCACACATAAAAGAGTTCAATGGATCCTACTAATCTTTCACAAAATATTACACATACAACATACCGCAGAACCATGCCACATGTTTAAAGGAATTTTATTGCTGTAATCTCAAAAAAAAGGGAGGATACAAAAAACACATTATATAAGGATACTATTCATATAGAATACTGTATTTTGATATTAATGCAAACGTGTCATAAGAAAAATAAAGAAATACACTTTTATCCACAACACTTGAATCAACACACAAATAGAAAAATGACCATATTCTTTATGTTTGTATAACTTCTTGTATATTTTAAACGTAACAGTTACAAATGCTGCTTTGAGTATAATTTAGTGACCCTACTAACATACATTATAAATAATATTAACATTAGTTTTAAGTTTGCACATTATAACACAGCATGATGACATGCTGCAAAAAAAAAACTGGGGTACATTTTGTAATGAATCAAAATAGAAGTTTCGAGAAACTTCTAGAATAATCTTTACACATAAATAATTATCAATTTGAAATACCTTTCTGACCGACTATTATTTTATTACTTTTTACAAATACATCGTTCATTTGGAGCGATGTTTACATTAATGTCAATATTTTTAATTACTATAAGCGTATCTGTGGCGCCGAACAGACGGTAGCATTAAATAGTTTAATTCTTAAGAAAAACTAGCCTCCCTTCATCACCTTACCAACTAGTTTAATATAAAAGGGCTAGTAAAATTAGTACAGACACTCTCTCACTTTCATGTTAAAAGTTAAAAATGTAATATTTATGTTACTTTTGTTAATCTTAATTATAAAACTTGTATACATTTGTTAAAATAATTAATTAAAATCATAGAAATAAACTCAGTATGTTGCCTCTCATACCAGTATTTTTATTTATTTAAATTAACTTAAAATATCGACGTCAACAAGAAACATCACAATTCACCATCTATCTACGAATCCATTTGGATGTCAAGGTATGTGTAGTCGTAGAACATATTCATGTAATATTAAGAAATAAGACAGAGTGGGTAAGAAGTAGGATTAAGATGATATGAATGAATCTAACACAATCTAAATAACTTATAATCCTTTTCCTATCATCTTCACCACATCTTTACCATCCCTCTATTCCCCTTTCTCTTTTCTATTTATTACAGGATTCGGTTAACGGGAGGGGTCCACACCACGTTGCGAATCAGCTCTTGATTAGTTTCGGGCTGATTCACAACGTGGTGGTATGAATTATTAGTAATGCCTAACAGCAGTTAGACTATTTACAACTAATATTCGACCTCGTTAGACTATAATAATAATATATACATTATGTCTGCTAACGAGTTTCTATAATTTAGAAAAAAGCATAACAACAATGAATGAAGAAATTTATTACAATAATATAAAAATTAATTACATTATTAATAGAATATATTTATATATTTTTTTTAGTAAATTTTTCTGTGACAAGTTGTAAGAATTTTAATCTAGAATTATTTAAACATGTGTATCTATTCGACATCTGCGTAAAAAATATTAGTTGTTATTTTCTTTAGCAATGCAAATACAAAAATAAAAATGTTCATATTTTCTAGTAATGTTTTTTTATATATATATAAAGTGATAAAAAAGAATTATATTCTGATTATTGGTATTATTCCTATCAAAAACCCAACAAATTTTTATAACTAAGCGAGTAATTTTTAATTTTTAATTTTAATTAAGATTTTTATAAATTTTATTTTATTTTAATTTTAGTTTTATTTTCGGTTAACTTGATGTTTAAAAATCTCATCTAAGTAAGTTTTAACAAAAAAACAAATTTTTTATTTATTAATTAATTAATTGAATAATAATTTCTTAACTAATGACTATTTCATTGTCATCAATATTTTTGGAACGTTTAAATAAATATTAACAAGCTCAGTGATAGAACGTATTCACATTTGTGATTAATGTTGGGAAAGAGTAGTGTGCTGAATACACCAAAATAATTATTTCTAATTATACTGTTGTCATAAAGTTTAAAATATTTACCTCAACATATTTATTTCAATCTTGTAATTGTATTATTTCTCTGACTTAAAAAAAAAAAATTATAATTTTAGTACAATTTCAATAGTAAAAATTATAATCAGTTTGAATAAATAACAAAAAATACGAAATAAACTCGTAAAATTAAAAAAATATCACATTATCCGTGGATGTTTCCGGTTTTTGTCGTTATATAATCGTTTAAACTAAAAATAAGCCACATCATTATGGGTTAAACTTAAGTGAAATTTTTCCAACTTTGAACCTAAAATTCAGGGAAGGACGCGAAATTAAAAAATGAAATCGAGTGACCACCCAATTTGTATGAGAATTTCATAGAAAATATTGTGGTGATATTTATTTTTCATATAAATAAAATTTGAAGTGGGGAATCTGAAATACCCCAATTTTGGAGATAGGAAATTTCAGTTTTTGATTTCGCTATTTTGAAGTCCTACTTAATATAACTTTACTACTCGTGAAATATATTAAACCAACACTTTGTATACATCAATGTGAATAGAGGGACACTTAATACTAATGCCACAATGTCATTAGAATAAAAAAATAATAAAATTCAAATGTGAATAAAACTTAAAATGAAGATTAACAAGTATAATACTTATCGGCTAATTGTAACGGCTGATGATAATATTGAATGGATCAATTAAAGTCGTGTTTTGTAACTTGACTTATCTTTCAACTTCTGTATGGAAACCATACTTTTGGGCCTTTATATATTAATTGTAGTAAATAACAATATATTGTCATTAGTATTTAATCACCGTGTTGTTATTTTTCATATAAAATAAACATACTTAAATCGTAACTCCATCAAACCCACTCAACTACTCGTAAAAAACAAACAATTTTGACTTTTTTTTTATTACTTTTCACAAATAATTAACTTTTTCAACTTAACATTTTAAAGTGTTTCTGAAATACTGACACTTTTATTTATATCTTAAATTAAAGCTTATGAAATAAACTTTATTATTGAAAAAATAAATATTGAACTTATTTAGTCTTCACGGTAAAAATGGCTACCGTATGCTATTTTTGTGTTAAAATTCTTGATCTTATATTTTACATTTTTAACTTTTTAGCGCTATAACTTTTTGAAAAATGTATGGTCCATTATAATTTTTTTAGGATAAGAACTATTTATATGCTTCTTTTATGTGACATACTTTTTTTTTTTTTAAACGAACCATTTCCGTTTATATATTTATATATTCACATATTACACTTATAAATCATAAAAATTAATCAAAATATAAATAAGGAAATAGTAGATCATATAGCTTTTGGAATAATCCATTAATTTTTTAAAATTAAACACTATCTTCAGATTTGCATCGAAGCGTTTTTTATGATAGTGATATTAATCACTGTAAGATATCATCTATACTGGACCCAACTATGCTACGACCCTACTGTACCACGACCCCACTGTGTTGGGTTTTTTTTTCTATTGATGGGTTCAATTAAATTAAAATTATAATAAAAAAGATAATAATATTTCAGTATTTTGACGCATAGATCAACATAATTAAAAAGTCCACTGATAGCTGCGAATTTTCATAGACGAAGAAAAAAAAGACACCTTATTGATAAGAAATTCCAGTGGGATATTGCTTTATCTCCTCTTTTTATCACTAAAAAAGTTAATTAATTTGTCGGGGTTACAAACGAAGTCTTCATAGCTCTCATAAAAACTAACTTATGATATATTATCAAATATAATTGAATTTATATTATTGTTTATTTTTATGTTCGAAGATATTTTAGATGGATTTCATTATTAAAATTGCTGAAATGAATTTTTACTTGGGATTATTCATTGGTAATATAAAATCTTAAGAACAATTTTTTTTATAATTATTATTAACAATATAATATAATGGATAATATATAATAGAGGATATACAAGCAAGTTGACGCTTGAGGTAAAAGATCCTATTGAATTAAAAAATATATAGTCATGTTTACGTACATTGGAAATATTTTACATTTATTAATCAAACAATGAAAAATTGTTCAATAAACAGTTTAAATGAACACATATGTTTGTTTTAAATGACGATTATATATTTTTTTAGTAACAATATAATATTGTTATTTTATGTTGTATGATTTGAATTTAAGTGTGAATAATAAATACATTTTTTTATTGCAATAACTAACGACAGACATTACGAATAAATAAGTTTTAAAGTTTTAAGTCTTACTTAATTAAGTAGAGTGCTAGGGGGATTTTGAATAAAAATGAAATAGAGAAAGTAAATGTTTTTCGTCCCTGTTAGTTGAATAGCTTTGAAATAAAAAAAACCTAATAACTATCCAGGAGCATATTTTAGTCATCTGGTTGATTTCCTCTTTTAATAACTTTTACACTCGTTGTTGTTATTTATTTTAGTTACTCGATAAACCAATTAAAATTTATATGTAATATATTAAAAATTTCTTATAGAGAATGCATTACTTGTTTAACTTAATTTACTTATATAATTTAATTATTATGATAAAATTTCATAAAAAGTAAAAATATCTATTAATTGTTCGTAAATCATTTTCTTTTTATTAAACAAATGTTATAAAAGTTTGTCTGAACTGAACTTTTAGTGTTTATAAAAGTAATTAAAATTATGTCAGTTACTCATGTCCTTAAAAATCAAACTGTTGTCCCATTGTGAACCATTGTAGTGCCACAATGAAATATTTGACAATTTTTTTTATCGCAAATACACTTTATGATAATTTATAATAAGAAATTATTAAGCTTTTTTTTTTTATAATTTTCGTCCAATTTTCAATTAGCTTAAGAAAAATTACTTTACTTAGATACCTTGAAATTTTTTTGAAATAGAGTACTTTAAAAACTAAATGTCTCATTGTACTGTAATAAANTAGAGTACTTTAAAAACTAAATGTCTCATTGTACTGTAATAAACCAAAAATAAAATAGAAAGAAAAGAAGAAAAACATAAAAGGTAGCTTGAAAAAGCATAGTTTAAATAGGACTTAATAATAATAATAATAAGAAGAAATAATAAGATAATATGATAAGGAGATATGTTTAGATTTTGGCTTGATGATAGAATATTGGGAAGTTAAATGTGTTTTGATATTTATAATTTTTTGTTAATTTTATATAATTTCTTTAATTTATCCCATTGAATTTTTATTAATTAATTTTGTCATTAATTAATTGTTTCCTTTATTAATTATTAATGGTTTATTACGCAATAGATTGTAGGAAGTTCGAAAGCATAGGTTAAATTGTACTTACCTTACGTCCTATGTAATGCAATAATATTTCAAGTAATCCAATGTTGATTCTTATATTAAATGCATGCACTAAGTATACAATTTACACTATACGGCATATAGTCAATATAATTACTTACAAAAACGATTCAAAATTTTAAATAATATGACAGTAATTACACAAAGTCTATGACTGATCTTACTTGTAAAAGATTCTAATCACTCTATATTTTATTAGAAATATAATTTATAATCTGTCCTTATTGATTTTTTTACGTGTGTTGAATAAGTATTTTTTTTTAAGAGTGTATATTTATTGAGAGATCCACACCAACATTTCTTAAATTTTTCTCTGGCCTGGCCAAAACAAGATTCAGAAATATTTATATCTATGTAAAAAATTTATTAAGTAGGAATTATGGTGGCCCGATGTGTCCCGGCGCTAACGCCTTGAAAGAATGCGAGACAATAATCACCAAAACAAAAATTAAACACTAAAAATATATTCGTAAGTTTCTTTGCGCTGTCCGCCGGCGCGATGCTCGTTAAAGCAAATATATTAAGTTCAATGACTAACTACCAAGTAAGTATAGAGTTGCAATACACTTAGTCCAATATATTTATTAATAAATTAATTTTATACACAGTATTATCTGAGAAAATTGTGACCTTCAGCTCTGTCCGCCGCACAGTGGTACCAAACGCCAAAAGTTCCATTTTTAAATCAACTAATAAAAAAATTTTTTTTCGCAATTTTTTTTTATTAAACCTTATAAGGTCATGTACAGAAATTCAAGGCCAAAAGTTGATACGGTAATGGTTGAGTGCTATTTAAATATCGTAACACTGTATTTTTTTTATTTTTTTCTAGGATTTTTATTAATTCTTCAATCATTTTATCCTGCTTAATTATAAACCTTAAATTTTTTTTTTTATTTAAAATGTTTAAAAAGTCATTGGCTTTCAATTTTACTAAGAAAACAAATTTTTTTTTTTTTTTAATTTTAATAATTTTTTACACAAAAAAAAATGCAAATACTTATTTTACATTGTTTTTTAAAGAGTTTAACTCAAAATTACGCAATATTGCGATTATACCAATACATTGCATTTGAGTCGTGCACATAGAATTTCCCTATAATAAACGTGTATTTTCATAAAAATTGTAATTTTAATCATATCATTGGTTTTATCGGTTCGATCAACTTTATCAGCTTTTAAACAACAATAAATTTTCATTACAGTTGATATTCAATTGTAAAAGATGCACTATAATATACAGTAAAACTCGCTTAAGACGCTCTTTAAGGGACCAGCTCTCTAGAACTTCTTAAGCGGGAATGAAAAAAGAATTTATGTGATTGAAATATCTAGTTTATTTTTTTATTATTAAACATAATTTAATAGGAAATACATTGTTTATTAAAAAAAATTATCTATTTTTGATTGTTTTAATTNGTTTATTAAAAAAAATTATCTATTTTTGATTGTTTTAATTTCTGACAATGCGTTTCAGAAAGAAAGTTTTCAATTTTATTAAGACAACCTAACATTTCTTCGGAATTTTCAACAGAGGATAATACTTTCCGAATTTCCGATAGGTGTTGCAAAATAGCAGTAATTGTAGGAGTAGATACTGGAAAGTCTTGATCTTCTTCTTCTTGATCGTCGTCTTCTTTCTCATTCTCCACTAAGTTCTTATCAGCGATTATTTCATCCAAAGTCCGAGTGCTACTGGTTACGAGTTCATCATCTATTGTTGCATAATCAGCAAAATTTTGCAGAAGTTGAAAGTCCTCTTCTTTTAAAGGTGAGCTATCTGCCTGTTTAGAGTTGTTCAACACACCAAATGCAGTTTTCCGAAAACAGTTTATTATTACATTTGGTTTAATTTCATCCCAAGCGGCACTAATGTAATGTATGGAGTCCAAAACATTAACTGTAGTTGAAATTTGGTTGGTACTCTCCATGTCTCTCGAGTACCGCTGAACTAACTTTTTTCGGTAATTTTGTTTTATCACTTTAATGATACCCTGATCTAGGGGTTGTAACTTAGATGTAGTATTTGGTGGAAAGAAAACAAGTTTTATATTGGTAGTGGAGATATCTTTAGGGTGAGCCGGACAATTGTCGACGAATAGAATAATTTTTCTCTTTTGTTTACCGAAAAGTGCATCTATCTGTTGAATCCAGTTCATGAATAGTGTTCCTGTCATCCAAGCACGATTTTGAGCAAGGTATTCACATGGGAACGTACGAACATTTTTGAAACAGCGAGGAGACCTATTTTTTCCAATGACGACCAACTTCAATTTATGGGTGCCGGTAGAATTTGTACATACTAAAACCGTGAGACGTTCCTTGCTCAACTTTCCACCATGGCATGTCTCATTTTTAAAAACAAAAGACTTATCTGGCATAAGCTTAAAAAATAATCCGAATTCATCAGCGTTGTATACATCGTCAGGAGCATAATCACGCAGTAATGAAGGCAACACGTTATTTTTCCATGAAGCTGTATCATCATTATTAACAGATTCAGCCTTACCTGAAATTTGCCGGTACACAATGCCATGCCTACTCCGAAATCTATCCAGCCAACCAGTCGATCCACTAAATTCGGTTAAGTTAAGACGTGCGGCAATCTCCATTGCCTTTTCCGTGATTACACCTCCATTTATTGAATAATTTAAACTGCGAGCTTGTTGAAACCACTCCAATAAAACATTTTCCAACTTTTCATACTTTCCGTGTTTTAATTTTTGTCGTTTGCTGCCACCTAACATGCTGCTTTGTTCTATTTCATGTCTATTTTTCAATAAAGTTCTTAAAGTAGAAGGAGGTATCCCCAGTTCATTAGCAATATCCTTTTGTTTTTTTTTCTCAACCAATCCTTCATCGTACTTCTTCAAAGTGTTAAGTTTGTCCGAAATTGATAGCGCTTTACGTTTTATACCACTAGCCATAACGAAATGACGGTTATACACATGCAAACGAACAGCACTTACTAAATCTCATAATACGATGAAATACAGTAAAACTGTTATAATAAGTAATGATAAAATAGGTATAGCGATAAAATAAAACGATAAGATCACGTATAATACTAAAAATTCTATTTTTATTTCACAAAACTACTAAAATTTATCGTAATATGCTGAACAAAAGAGAGTTTTACCCGATTAGACAGAGAAAATCTGAGCGTCTTAACAGGTGGTTTTTACATTGACTAGTATAGGAAATGTCTAGGGACCGACGAAAAACAGCGTCTTATGCGGGAAATTGTCTTAAGCGAGTTTTACTATTACTATTATTACCAAAACATTTTTCTGTTTAATCATATTGTGTTACAAACGGCGCGTCGCGTCATTATAATTTGACATATTTTTTATAAGTTTCACAGTGAATTAATTGCAGTTTTGTTTTAATTTAAAAGTTGTAAGAATTATTCTATTATTTTTAAATAATGGATAATCAAGTATGTGGTAAGTGTTAACAATAATAAACTATATTAACAATAATATAATAGTATGTCTAAAATAAAACAAAATTTAGTGGCACTGTACAATTGTATAACTTATTTAATTTAATTTTATGTATATAATTAAAAACTTTATTTTAACTTAATTTTAACGAATCATTAGTTTTAATTACATTTAATATTTAATATCGTGTCTTTTAGCTTCTGCTCATATGTCAAAATGTTTGTTATTAAACCAAGATTTGGTTGATGTTATTAAATGTAACGGTATAAACTTACAGAATATCAGTAATATTACTTCAAGAGTAATTATTTTTGATTTTTTAAAATTAAAATATAATGGAATTAACTGCAGCACTACCTTTACAAAACTAGTTGAAAATAAAGTTTTAACATTTTGTATGGCGGTGTCTAGGAAATGGTCTAAAATACAGCGTCACAATGCAATTTTTTTAAGAGCGACCGCCGAATGGCTTAAAACGCCATTTGAAATGCCATCAAATAGGAAAATTTGTTCCAAACCTATCGATGGCCAACCTAAAGTCAATTTTACTGAATCCTCGGAACGTTCAAAGAGACGTAAAATAAACTCTGATCTTACTTTAACTACAATGACATCACCTGAAATTTTATCCGCTGAAAAAAATTAACTTTTTTTTTCTAGTAATCGAAATGAAGCTTTATTATTTACTAATAGTTCAAGAGCAATGAAAATGATTTTATAAAATTCTAATGATAATAAACCAATTCCGTATATCCCTAACGAAGCTCTAGCATTTATTGTTGATAATAAGCTGTAAGGTTTCAGCTGA